CTGAAGGAAAAAAAATTTACACAGGCAATTTTTTTACGTTTACAATGCAAGCTGGCTTTAAAAAAAAAATCTTCATAGAACTCAGAAGGGAAAAAAGTTAGCAGTAACCCGAGCCCTTCTTGAATCCACAAGTATGTAAGATCCTTTTTTTTTTCTGACCACCATGATGCGAAAGCAGCATTCACTGACACGTGTTGAGCAAACTGGGTAACAGTAACAATTTAACAGCTTCAAAAACACGTAGGACTACAGTGCAGGTCACAAATAAAATACATACACACACACAACGCACACACACATGCACACAGACAAAAACAAAGAAACAACATTGTACCAGTCAAAAATTGCTAAAAAAGCTAAATCTTCATACCACCAATTCATGGCTCGTTTCAAATAAAACAATGACAAATCCTCTTTCCCTCTTCCAGCAAAACCTGACACAAACTTGAATGAGCCGTTGCCACAGGTGACAAGACAAGATGCTCCCAGTTCTCATTTCTCACAATGGAAACTCTTGTGCTGGCAGAACAAGACTATAGAATAGACTCCTACATTACGAAGACACCACACATTTTTTACAGCTCTGCAGGGATTCAGAGCAACACAGTGTACACTTCTTCAGCTCAAGTGACCAGATCAGAATGTTCAAATCAAAACGTAATGACAAGTTACACAAAAGAGACCAAGACAAAAGCCAAAACAGTCTGGGCCTTCACCTTTTTTCACTTTGAAAAAGAGGCAAGTTAGTAACTCCCAACTAAGTATCAACTTCAAATACAGGAGACGCTTGACTCCAACTAAATAACAATTTCAAATATAGGAGAGTTAAAAGACAATAGGTGGGGCAAACTGTTCTCTGGCTTGTGTAATAAACGGACTTTTCCCACACGCAGTAAGTTCATGCATACAGAGTACAGTAGGTCCGTGCATACTGAGTTTAGTAGGAACATACATGGGGCAAACTGTTCTCTGGCTTGTGTAATAAACTGACTTTTCCCACACGCAGTAAGTTCATGCATACAGAGTACAGTAGGTCCGTGCATACTGAGTTTAGTAGGAACATACATGGGGCAAACTGTTCTCTGGCTTGTGTAACAAACTGACTTTTCCCACACGCAGTAAGTTCATGCATACAGAGTACAGTAGGTCCGTGCATACTGAGTTTAGTAGGAACATACATGGGGCAAACTGTTCTCTGGCTTGTGTAACAAACTGACTTTTCCCACACGCAGTAAGTTCATGCATACAGAGTACAGTAGGTCCGTGCATACTGAGTTTAGTAGGAACATACATGGGGCAAACTGTTCTCTGGCTTGTTTAATAAACTGACTTTTCCCACATGCAGTAAGTTCATGCATACAGAGTACAGTAGGTCCGTGCATACTGAGTTTAGTAGGAACATACATGCCGATTGTAGTAGGTCAGTGTGTGTTTAGTTCACTTCTTTGGTTCACTATGGAAAGGTTTTACTGAATTTCTGACCGCTGCAACCACAAATGTGACTATGACCAGCACAGTTCAGGACACCACTTGCATTTTATTTCTATCCCCCCACCCCCATACTGGAGTAGCAGGGCACCGGGTAAAGTGAGACAGTGCTGTGAATTCAAATTGTTTAACAGCCTCCGCAAAATGAACATCATTTAAGAGGCAGGCTGCTTCAAATGTGCCGGTCAGGACAAACCACACCTGAGTGGGACACGGAATCCTGGCAGACAGCCGGAGACGTTTGATGAAATAACTTTCCTACATGGGAATTAGAACTCACGTTTGTTTTTTTGGTTTTGGGGGGTTTTTTTTGCATGCACAGGTGAATTAGAAGAGCTTTTCCATAACATCATAGATGCTAGTTAGATGCGAACCAAAGAATCAGACTTGTTATTAGAACTGTCAGTGAACAGAAAACCAAGCTGAGTAATCAGACACCAAAACCCGTTGAAACAAACACTGTAATCAGCCCTACTAGCACATTCGGCCAAAAACACAAGACAATATGTCACATAGGAAACAAAAAGTAAAAATTAGCCAGCATACAAGACTTTCCTCTCTTTCTGGAAAATTCGGGTACAAGGGCACCCCTTTACGATAATAATTATTAGCTGTGCATTCACAAGTTGTGGTGACAGTCCCTCACACAAACAACACACAACCCAGTTTGTAACAAAAAGGTGTCCACAGTGGACTGCGGTTTAAGATTCTCCCTGCTCCTGTAGGTTACATCTACAATCCAAATCTGTATTAAAGTCATTGAACATTATTCTGTCATTTTCACCACTAGAAACTAAAATTCCCCATTTATGGCATCAACTTTCAAGAAAAGGGCTAAGATAAAATCATTAAAATTTTAAACTCAAACATCTGATTACAGCATTATCGGACTCTAGCCGGCCTTAACACGTTTGCAAAAAATATGGTGCGCGCTCAAAGAACATTCAATCTCTCATCTTGAGTCAGAGTTCCAAAAACAGCCCATTCTCAGCAGTGCCTTAGGAAGTACAAAGCCCTAATTAATTACAGCCCTATAAACCTGTGTTAAAAAAAAACACTGTAAAAAAAACATCTGAGAGGAAAAGGAACCAGAGAAGTACCCAAAGTTCTACAGGGGCTTGAAATTTATTATTTCTCAGTGTGATAAGAAGTCATCTCCCTCTCAACATGTCCATCTAGTTTAGTGGGTCAAGAGTTGAAGTAAAACTCTATCTATCATGTAATACAGCTATACTGCACTCGGGCAGAAAATGAAAGTGACACAGACAAGCTGTACACATCAAACATTTTTTTTTTAATTTTAAAAAGTCGCAACTTCCAATCCTGAGAGAAACATTACATAACATTGTCTCAAAACAGAGTCCCTTATAAACGGTCACTATGAAACTCAATGTGAATTTCTTAAAAACATCTCGATTCCACACACTCATTATAACAGAAAAGAAAGAATGAAAAGGAGACAACGATGTGAAAAGTAAGTAAGAATATGGATCAGGTCACTTCGTGACCACATCAGATACCAAGCGTAACCTCTCACAAACGCTCCGCCGTAAAAGTGAACCCATTTTTTGTGTTTAAAAGAGGGAGGATCCACCCACACCAAACAACTCTGAGCACGGCACAGGACAAGCAGATGGGCACAGAAACAAATTGAGTATCCACATTCTTAAATATTCAACTTCTCATAACACCTACACGATATGGCACCAGTACAAAAGACAGGAAACCGAAGCCGGTGAGAAAAATCCACCAACACAAGCACATTCAGACCACTATGGCAGTCAGTGTAATTATTTTTTTAAATGATAAAGACAAGACTGAGGAACAAACAAAACTGCTGACTGTATCAGGCCTTGCAGACAAGAGATAGAAGAAATAAAATTGATACAATCCTCATCATACTATTTTTAAAAACAAAAAGAAATGAGTGGAAATGAAATTACATACAAATGAGATGAAAGTTGTACAGAACAAGCCACAATGGAAACATCTATAGACAACATTACACAGCATCATAAAACAAAATGAATATCTAAAAAAAAACCAAAAAAACTGCAGGGAAAAATAAAGAGTGGGAATCGGACAGTTCTGAGGAACATTTGCAGAAGCAAACACACAAACAACTCAAGCATTACAAAAAAATGATCATCCTGATATAAACTTTTCAAACTGTCATCATGAAATCAACATCACATCACACAGGCGTACAAACACACAAAATTCCAAAGTGCATTTCCCCGGGCAGTAAAAGCAACATCCAGCAGACACTCGCTCCTATCTAAGCCGTACAATGAACCCTCCCTCGGCACAGTAGAACACCAGGGGCGGGCCTGGGAGTAACAGAATAACGTGTCTATAAATTATCACCGCTCTCTCTCGTGCTTTTTGATCGCACTTAGAATCTGGAGGAAAAGAAAAACTTTGCTGCCATTGTCAAGTTTTAAGGGGAGGTGAAGACGATGACGACGACATGAACAATGAAAGAGGATTAACTTTTCTCCAGCATGTAGCTTCAGACAATGGAATTCTTCCATTTGTGTCAATATGAAGAAGCACTTCAACCCAATAATGGCCTGTTGATGCAGGGAAGGAGTAAGAAGGACAGACACACATGAAAACAAATAAAGGGACAGAAAAGCAGTAAGACCTACCAGCAGCACCCTCTTACAACCCGCCCGCCTCACTTAACACATTGGTTTAGTTTTAGTAAGTGTTTAACGGCACTTGCAACACAATCAGGTCATATAAGTGCAGAAGACTTGAGGTGTTACAAGAGAGTAACAAACACAAAAAAGACGGAAGGGAGATAAAGACGACAGATGTTTCATAGGAAAGAAGAAGCAAACCACACCAGGGCACCCGCCAACCACCCAATAACACATTGGTTAAGGGTGCATCATTCACTCAACGCACGAGTGAGCCGCCACTGTCAGGCCGCACAGAAAAGTGTGACCGCCTGACTTAGGGTTGAGCCATTACCCCAGATATTCCCAGCACCGAGCCGACGATGAGAACAACCACTCAGAGAGGACTTGTGGCTGAGAGCATGAGGAGTTGTAGAAAGCTAAACATCAGAGAGGTGTAGAAAGCTATACACCAGAGAGGAGTCAAAAGCTATACACTGGACAAGAGTTAATCAACAAATAAGAGTAAAAGAAAAACAATGAGCAAAACCCAAGACAAGACGTTCATTGAGGACCTCACATTTTGTACACAACGTCTGACCTTGAAAACTAAGTAGGCCTACCTCTAGCCACATACAAATAATTCCCACCAACTGTCCAGAGATATCCCAACTGTACTTCACATCAAAGATTTGTACAGGAAAATGAAGCTGCTTACTCCAAAATCAGCTACCCTTGGACATTGTAAAATGTGTCAGCAAAACCGACTTAAAATCACGCAAAAGTTTTTTAAAAACTTTTTTAAAAGGCTGGACATCTCCCAGAAGATATTTCAACACAAATTTCTCAAATATCCTAGCACACTACAATAACAATAATATTCAACTATTTTTTTTTGCACACAACGGTATTCACGGTAATGTCCTCTCCGTTAATCCAAAGCTTTTAGTAGAAAACTACAACAAAATCTTTCCTTTCTGTGTACAACATAACTCTCAGAACAATATGCCGCTGTCATCATTAATAATAAACCAATCTCTTACTGGGAACAGCACCTAAATTTCAAATCTGCGCTTTCCTTAAAAGGATTTTGTTTCTTAAACACAGGTATTCTTTGCAAATCTAGACAACCCAACTGAAATTCAGACTACAAGATTCTACCCTGAGATACAGCTCGAATAAGATCAAATCAAACTGTAAACATACCTTATGTCTGTTTCCACAAGTCCATGTTAAAATTGCAACATACTTGACAGTTGTAAGCATTTTTGTATTTCTATTTTTTCTAGTTCCATATGTGGCAAACATCTTGGACACTTTCTTTCATACAAAACAAAAACATTAGCATTTAAGCATTTCACATACCCTTGGCACAACAGGGAAATCTATGTACAAATGGGTGCTACTACTTTTTCAGCCTGCAGTGTTGACCTCCTTTAGACAAATCATGAACCCTCAGATTAGTTTTAGTAAAAGTTTTACGGCACTTGCAACACAAAAAGCTCATATAAGTGCCGAAGATTAGAAGTGTTACAGGAGAGTAACAAACACAAAGAAGGAAGAGAGATAAGGACGATAGATGTTTGATATGAAAGAAGGAGCAAACCACACCAGGGCACCCGCAAACCACCCGAACCCTCAGAACAGAAGCATTAACACATGTGAAAAAGATAGGGTCCCAACTCTGTCAGTACATGCCATAGAGAAAACAAAGCATCAATGTCAAGACATTTTCAACTTCTCATTTCCCATCTTCTTGAAACAAAACACCCACCTCTGCAAATTTAGTTCCATTCATACAAGTGGAACAGTAGAGCTCTAAAGACAAAAAAAGCAGTAACACGGCAACTACCTCAGAGGGCACATGTTAAACTTTGCTTGTGTGCGTAAAACACATTAACTATGTATACATGAGCGCTAGCGTAAGCATGGAAATGTATGTGTGTGAGTGTGAGAGCGCATGCACATGCGAGCGTGCATTCAAACGTTGCTTAGAACTTGAATGATCTAGAAAATAGATAGCTGCTAACCTCGAAGGCCAGATGATTTCTCAAAAGTAGGTCCTCAACCATAAAGGAAATAGTAGCAACACATTCTCTGATGTCCCAACAACAATGAACCAAAATGCAAACAGTTGAACACAACAAATATGTGCACACAACTGAACATCAACAGTTACAGCGCACAGAACTGTACACACACGCATACGCACACACATATGCACATACTTATACACACACACACTTACATGCACACGCGCGCAGCTGGTACACAGCAAAGTCATTTTCCCTGGTCAAAAGACAATAAAACTAGGTGCAGTCAGCCAAGTCTCCGTCAGACAAGCCAAGCAAGACGTCGGAGACTTGTTCAGAAGAGGCAGCCCCCCCACAGGGGAGACCATACGACATCAGGAAGAGAGGCGGGCACATAAACCTCCGCTCTACGCCACCCTACCAACTACTTGCTGAGGTCCCAACCAGTTGTCTATTCTCCGAGCAACTTTAGAGAACAACAAGCTGTTTACCACCTGAGCCTTTCCATATGGTGCAGAATCCGTCACGATTGAAGAGGTGGGGCTGACCGCTGGGTTCAGATGGTGGAGGAACAAACTGCATGGTCAACGAAGCGAGTGGCTGCTTGTCTGACCGGCCACTCAGATTATAAGTTGACTGTCAGACAGCAATATGGCCAACTCGATGCAACATGCCAGGGGGTTGGGCAGGAGGGAGGGGAGGGGGCTGAGGGCTGGTTGGCGTCAAAGCTTATCCGTGCCGAGAACCAAAGGGTTCTCTGTCCACCCACCACCAGACATGTGATTACCCTCGAGTGACTGACTGCCTCAAGCAACTCCCAGGCGACAGAGACAGGTACATCGCGGAAGACCACCATACGTACAGACAACAGCAACCGTCAAACAGAGGGCATCTCATGTACGGGGGACAGGAAGGGACAGCTTCAAGCACATACAGCATAGCCGCGGTGGTGGTGGTGGTGGTGGTGGTGGTGGTGGTGGTAGGGAGCAGGCTTGTGCTGATTCGTGGGGCAGGGCTGGGGAGGAGGTGAGGGGAATGAACATGGGGGAGGGGAGGGGCCAGCCCTACAACCCTGTCTCTTCTGGAGGAGGTGGGTATGTCAAATACCTAATGTTTGCCCTGATCTTATGAGCAGACCCCAGCTATTTCCTCAAATCTAGTACCACAACCTGAAAGAAAAGAAACAAAGGAGAAATAGAAAATACATAAGCAATCGGCATACTTCGTCAAATCTAGTATCTGAACTTTAAAAAAGACACGAAACAGGAGAAAAAAGGAAAATCATTTCTATCAAGTTATTAATCATAAAAGAGTAAAAGCCGTCCTCTGGCCAGTGTGATATTCCCACTTTAGGAATATAAAAATGTTCCAGTTTTCCAGTGCAGATGTTGTATCTCACTTTAGGAATATAAAAACTTTTTAATTTTGCAGTGCAAATGTTGTATCTCTCGATTTTAAAATTAGAAAACAGACACATTATGGATTGCACTTAGACAAAAAAGCATAAAGATGAGTAAATTAAAATCTAGGTTGTTGCAATGTTCCTCAGCAAAAGTTCTAAAAATGTTTTATAATTATATACATCTTATCTCTTCAGGAATTTTTCATTCATCTGTCAATTTCTTGGGGGGGGGGGGGGGGTAGTTTCCTTTTTAAAAGATAATATATATCTAGAAATTCTTACCGAACCATCTGAAGCACTAGCTCCCACTTTGTCTCCCTTGTGGTTCCAACACACTTCAAAAATGCCTCCAGTACCTCTGTAGCTATGGACTAGTGAGCCAGTCTGTGGACACAGAACAAAAATCTCAGGATGAAAACAGCCCTCGAAATAACACTACACTGACTGTAAGACATTTAAATTCCATGACAAAGTTATGTGATTTCTTTTCTTTTGAAATGTTGGGATATTTCCCAACCAGTATGCTACAGTGAGTGTATTGCTTTGTTTCTTTGTTTCAGTTTGACAGTTTCATGTTCAACCGAGACGAGACCAACCATTTCTTCATGGGTATGCACACAATCTAAGCCGAAAGTCTGTATTTTTTTCTGAGTCTTTTACAATCACTCGTTGGGTCACAGGAAGGTGGCGTCATAATTGCTGCCACATGACACCAGGTAGTAGATCTTCAAACTAAAAGCCCCACAAACCTAAAGTTTTCAGTACCAAGCAAATTGTACCTGCTGCCCGTCGTGTGGTAAGAGGTACACACGAAAATAAAAAATCTTGTACACAGGTGAAAAAAAATCTGTCTTTCTTTCCTTCATTTCATTTCCTTGGAGTATGTCATCACAGTCATAGCACACCTGCAAACGCCACTTTTCTTGTTTGCTTAGAGAAAACTTAAAACAACAGCGTTGACATAACAGTAAAACAAATTGTGATTATGTTTAATTCAAAGACAAACAGAATATAATCTCAATAATCAGGAATTCTAGTTCATGAAACAGAACCGTGCAAGACTGAGAACGTAAAACAAAGAACGAACATTTTTATTTTTACCATACCAATAACTAGAAGCCTAAAGGGTAGGGCTGGATCCTGCTCGTCAAATCTGAGAGTGGCGATTCGCGATTCAGTCGGCTTCAATGAATCGCGAGTACGCGAGAGCTCGTGGAGCTGTGGCGGAACACTGACTGAAACGGAACACTGACTGAAACGGAACAGTGTCATATCAACGCCTCTTGGCGAGCGCGAGTCCCACTCTTGTTGTTCCGCCATCCTCTCCGCCCAACACCCTTTGTTGCGCTGCTCTATCAACTGACCTCAATTAGTGACCCCCCTAAACCCCAACCCCACCATTCCCTAAAACAATGGCTCCATAAAATTCCTTCTGTCTATTGGTTGGACCCCGTTCATTTTGTTTTAATAGGGGGGTTGGACTATACCATCTTTCGTAAAATAAGGGGAGCCATACAAAGTGTTCCGTTGCGTTCTTGCGCTCGTGACTCGACTCAGCAGTAGGTTAAACAAGCCACAAGGTGGTGACAGCGACAGGGGAGTGAATCGGGAATCGTTTGGCGATACTGTTCCGCGTTCCGCTGAAGTGAATCGTGAATCGCGTTCCGCAGGAAAGAGTGACGATTCAGTTCCGTTCTCGCGCTCGTGACCCAGCCCTACTAAAGGGAAAAAAAGGACGGAGACAAAGTCCTTATGACAACGCTGGTAGCTTACCTGGACACTCCATATATGCACACACTTGTCAAAAGAGCCGCTAGCTATGTATTTGCCATCAGGACTGAAGGCCACACTATATACGGGCTCCGTGTGTTTGGTCAGGGTATGTAGACATTGGCCTCGGTCTACCTCCCACAGACGCACCGTCGAGTCAAAGGAGGCGCTGAAAATGGACATGCAAAAATACAATTAACCACATTGTTTAAGTTAAGTCAAAAGGCAAGTTAAAAGGAAACTTGCGAGTGAAAATATCTTGGTACATGGCTTCCATCAGACTGGTTGGAAAATAAAAATGACCTTAGACAGTGCCCTTATTTTTGCTAAAATCAATGTTTTCGTTGTTGTTGTTATCTATCTAGTAACAGCTGGGCTCTTGCTCTTCTGTCCAATGCCATGTAGTGATAAGTGCAGGTTTGCTGCAGTTGCTGTAATGTTCCATAGAGTGTGTTATCAATGTTAGGTCTTGGAGGGAGAAAGGTATGATAAAATCAATCAAACAATAAACAAATATTATTACACTCATAAGTCAATTTTGGCAGGTTTGGAGTTTTTGTTTCTGAAATGAAGAGCAGAGCCAGCTTGGTAATACAGTTTACTTGAACAATCAATTGAGTGTACCAAAATTCAAGCATTTCAGAGTCAACTGTAAAAAAACAAAAAAAACACAGTTTTTTAAAATCATTTTCTCAAAATGGCTAAAAATGACGTAGGCATTCATCTTATTGAGCGTGACGATACATATGTTCTAAGTGAGGAGGATCTCACTTCGTACCTGGCTAATATCAAATTCTGGTTGGGGTTGTTGGTGCCACTTCCAGTGGGACTCCACTTGATGGTGTAGATCTCCTTCTCGTGCGCCCGGAGGTCATGAACCCACGAGTCACGCTTCATGCTCCAAATCTGGGCAAAGCAGAAGAGGCATATATGAGTAAAGAAAACACAACGACACGAAAATGAATGTCTGGGAAAAGGGTAAGCTACAGAAAAAGAAATAACAGAGGTGAGGAAAACAAGTAGGTAGGGAAAAAGTCAGTTTTAGTAAATTTTAGTAAGTGTTTTACGACACTTGCAACACAATAAGGTCATATAAGTGCCCAAGATTAGAGGTGTCACAAGAGAGTAACAAACACAAAAAAGGAGGGGAGATAAAGACGATAGATGTTCGATAGAAAAGAAGCAACCACACCAGAGCACCCGCCAACCACCCACAGGAAAAAAAGTCAGTAAGAAAGAACAACACAGGGAAGGAAATAGGATATACAAGTGGTATCCTCCAACCATACACCCACAAAAATGTTGATGCTTTACGCCCCCATCCACACAATTTTACATAATCTCTGAGCTGGACTGCTTTGATTCTTCCTGTCAAAGTCAATTCAGGCTGAGACGAGAGAGATGCAACAATTCAACATCCCAGCAGACATACAGGATATACTCAATTTAAAAAAAAACAAAAAAAACCTCTACTATTGATCATGTTATGCTGTTACCATATAAGTCTTTTGTTTTAAAACCATCACCGGGGTCAATCTGCAGGTGCTCAACAAAACCCAGGAGTCAACATGCATCATAAATTGGTCGCTTTTAAGCACAACGGGGCTATCTCGAAAAAATGCTGTTTTGATAAAATCGAAGTTTTTGCCCCTTGTTCAGTTTCTTTAAAAGGCAAGGAGAGTTTTCTCTACAACCAAATAAATATACACATCGATGAAACCAAACTTCTCTTATTCGTAGGGCAATGCCCTCTTTTGGTGTTGGTCAAGATTTCTCAACACACCAACCCCCCCCACCCCCCTTCTCTGTTGACTTCCACTCCTTGGCACTCATATGACCTTATGCCGTTGCGAGTGCTATAAACCCTCTACTAAAACAATAAAACAGAAAAATGTTGAACCAGTTACACAGTGACAGAATAACACTGACAGTAAGTTATGTGTCCCAGGTATTACCTTCAACGTCATATCGTCTGAACATGAGGCTAGGAGTAGACCTTGGGGGTCCCACTTGATGGCATTCACCTCATTCTGAAAAATAAGAAGATATAATATGTGTGAAAATTGGTGAAATGGTATGGGTTTAACGCCCCTATCAACACTATTAGGTCATTTAAGAGGCGGGGTCTCCTAGTCCGTCTCTGAAAGGACCGAGCCAAGAGGGAAATTCGTGTAAAGTGCCTTTCCCAAGGACACAATGTCGGACCGAGCTGAGGCTTGAACCCCCGAACCCACAATCTCACAGTTACAAGTCTGGTAGCCTAACCACTAGGCTACCGACGCCACTGATATACGTGTGAGGAAACAAAGTTAGTGTGATATACGGAGACACTTAAAGTAAGGTGGCCAAGTCCACTGATAAGTGTGGGAAAGGTAATATATTGTCAGTTCTACTCCCTGCTTTGTCGGATAGAATGTTGTACTTTCAGGCAACGTACTTAATCTTATTTCCTCCATATCATCATCATCATCACTGGGGGGGGGGGGGGGGGGGGGGGGGTGTGTTCTCACCCTCCACCAGAATATAGAGGCCATGAACAAACACTTTCCATCTATCCTTATCCTAGGCTAGCCTCTTGATATCAGAACATGTCTTCCCACTTTTCAGTACATCATTTTTTGTGACTCTTCTCCAGGTTCCATGTGGCCTTCTTGTATATAAAATAATCTTCTTCCACTACGTATAGGCAATAACATAGATGTCACTAGTAGCACTCTCCACTAGCTACATGCAGTCACTTAGATGTCACAATAACACAGATGTCACTATAACACAGATGTCACTATAACACAGATGTCACTATAACACAGTTGTCACTATAACACAGATGTGACTATAACACATATGTAACTATAGCACAGATGTCACTATAATACTGATGTCACTATAACACAGATGTCACTATAACACAGACATCACTATAACACAGATGTCACTATAACACAGATGTCACTATAACACAGATGTCACTATAACACATATGTCACTATAACACAGATGTCACTATAACACAGATGTCACTATAGAACAGATGTCACTAGCAACACTCTCCACTAGCTACATGCAGTCTATAATACAGATGACACTAAAACACAGATGTAGTAACTAAGACGTCCCTAGAATGTTTTCTTTAGTTCCTCATATAAAACCTTTTTTTTTCCCAAAAAGTTTGTTAAGCTTGAGTAAAAAATTGTCTATTGACATAATAATGGTCAGAAAGTGCTTGGAAAAGCAAGACAGCCTGACAGAATGGACAAGAGGGAAGGGGAAAAATTGTAGACCCTACCAGCACTGTCCTCCGACCATCTGCTTACACTAATCTTTGCTCCCATTCTTTTTTCTAGAACAATCTTTATTCTTTATTTTTAATTTTTTTTTAGAGAAATCATTGTTCCTATTCTTTTTTAGAACAGTTCTTGCACCTCTTTTTTTTTTTTTAGAACAGTCCTTGCTAGTACTCTTCTTTTTTTTTTAAAAGACAATCCCTTTTATTTCTTTTTAAAAAAACAAAATAATCTTCACCACTATCAATTGAACACTATGCTAAAAAGGTCGTCTCATTTGACACATGCATATGAGGTGCCAAGTTTCTGAACTATAACATATTAACACCTCTGCAGACCACTCTCTCTTTAAAGTTTTCAAACAATTTATCAGATCATCAAAGTCACAAGGAGCTAAATGACTTGAATGCAGATAGATCTACAGACGGACATAAGTTTACATCGAAGCAGCTCAAAAAATTTGTATGCCAGTTCCCAAGTCATCATCTTTCCTGTCAACAAGCTAGCACTCACCGTGTGCCCCTGGAATGTTTTGACAGGCCTCGTGTCATCGAGCCGACAGACATGGATACACTGGTCCGTGGAACATGAGGCAAACGTGTTGCTGCTCTGCCAGTCCACGTCTAGCGCAGGTGCTGGGGAGAAGAACGTCCGTGTTACACATAATTAACGTCAACGTTGCACATGATTAACAAGGAACAAAAAAACATCAATGTTACACAAATTAAATAATGCACAAGAACACCAGCACTGTTACTACGCAAAATAGGCAATTAACTCTGTCTGTCTGTCTTGCTTTTTCCCAGCACTAATTGGCCCTCGTTGTGTTGATGGGGTTCTCTTTACTGAAACAAACAATTAACGATAACACCGATGCCATTTAAACAAAATACACAACAAAAAGGAAGGATAACATTACACAAAATAAGCAATTAATATGAACATCTACACCTTGCTTTGCACGAAATAAACATTTTGTTAAACAGTCATTGACTGTATTCAGATGTCAAAAATCATCAAAATGCAAGTTTGTTATTTGGGTTCGCTTTTAAGAACGGTGATGAGAGATAAATTGTACCTCCTGTTGGTGAGCATCAAACAACACAACCAGCACTTTCAAATACATAATTTTTTCAGGCCACAAGAATTCATTTCTCAGACAAAATTACCACCCACACATTTCCTGTCTCCAGGTGAGACAGATGTTTTCCACAACAAACTGGAGGAACAGGTGTTAGTTTTTAGTTTTAGTAGAGGTTTTACAGCGCTTGCTACTGCATACGGTCATATGAGCGCCAAGGGGTGGATGTCAACAGAGAAGTCCTTACAGGGAATCAGACTTACTCTGCTCACCTCTCTAGCTTCACCAGCACAAAGTCTGTTTCGACTATCAAGGCCCCCCAAGAAATTACGGGTCACTGTGACAAACACACAAAAGAAGTAGAGAAAAATAACGATAGTAAGAACTAGGAAAGAAAAAGCAGCAGTTCCCTGTTGCAGTTCAGGCACAGTTATGAGCATGACATTGATGAATCAGTCCATTTACAATTTACAATTCTACTGAACATAAGAACATATTAATGTCCGTCTCCCTCCCCCTTCTTTGGGGATGGCCTAAAATCACTTCAGTCAGTAGCACCGCCCCAGGGGATACAGGTGTTTGTTCCTTGTTCCTCGCGGGACAAACAGGAAGAGCAGCGGGCAGGAAAACAACTCATGGCTCAGGTGTCTCAGAACAAAGACATAACACTGGAGCAAACAATGTCGCAAGGGTGCACATCATGTTTTAGTTTTAAAAAGAGAGTTTTGCAGCACTCGCAACACAATTAGGTCATAATATAAGTAATGAAGATTAGAGTGTTACAAAAGAGTAACATACACAAAAAAAGACGGAGGAGAGACAATGACGATAGATGTTTGATGGGAATGAAAGAAGAAGCAAACCACACCAGAGCACCCACCAACCACTGACGACAGATCTTTGATAAGAAAGATAGGGCAAACCAGACTAAATCACCCGCCAAACATCCACAGTTCACGTTGTCAATTTTTCCTCACAGGAGGGAAAAACAAAAACGGTGACAGAAACAAACAGTGAAATTTCCAATCTAAAAGAATTCTAGTCACCGGAAAAGGTAAAACATTCTTCAAAGCTGAAGATGCACCGTGAAAATAAAATCACTGTGAAAATAAAATTGGGGGGGGGGATTAATTCAGGAGTAGATGTTCATCAAAACCGCTTTAAACTTTAAACCTTCGTTTTCACTTAATTAAGGAAGTAGACAGAAAATAAAAACAGAAAAAAATATAAAAACCATATAAACATAAAACACCCTATGTCAGATTGCAATTTTCTAAACACATTTTGGATACACAGATTTTACAAGCAGCAAATTTACCTGAATGAAATGCAAACTGTTGTTTGCAACTGCCTGTGGTCGCATCCCAAATGATAGTTGTCTGAAAGAGAAAAACATATTTCCATGGAACATGCAACCCAAACAAGCATACATCGACTGCTCAGTGTGACACTGTCATACGTCACTTTTCAAAATGGTGTATGGAGGAGCTTTACTTTATTAATCATAATCCCTTGCTCATTTATATGAGATTGACGCCATCTGATTAGTAGAAAAAAGTGCGTATGATAGTGTCCAATAGTGTATTATGTGCATACTTAGTATGACAAGTAACTGTTACAGATAGAAGAGATTTTAGGATTATAGATGTAAGTCATTGATCTGAGAGCTATGATGACTTTAGGAATAATGTTGGTGATGAGTGATGACGTGGGATTTCCGTAAAGTAATGTCAGCGTTAGTCCTATCTTCCTCTGCTCCAATGAGTCATGAAGGACGAGGGCACCCTCTATCCTGTTCCCTACTGGAACCATCTTTACGGTCACCATGAAGTTCCGAAATGGTGGGCACAGTCTTTGTTAAGGTGAAATTGTTAGTGTTAGCCTATTCTATTGGGCCAAGACAAGTGTCGAGAGGAGCTAAGTGGGAAGACAGTATAGTGGCAAGTATGTTGGGGTATTCGTAAGCGGGTTGTGGGTAGCAAGTTGGCAAACAGAATATTAACTTTAAAAATGCAGCATTCCACTCCCTGATAATTTGCCCTGCGTCTTCTTTTCGAGTCCTATTAAACTTGCAGAGATTCTGAAACAGGATCCTCAAACCCGAGTCGAGAGGGCACAAGTTACACAAAATTTTGTATCCCCTCACCTCAGGAGAAGAGACGTGGCGGAGCCTTACACTAAGCAGTCAACATTAGCAAATACATTCTTTTGTTTTTCCATGTTTGCTACATCGAGATGGCTATGACCTTTCTCTGGCAATCTGTTCATAAATCAATGTCGTTATCTCCCTCTTTATGGAAGGTAGGCTATTAAACAATTATTATCAATATTTCAGAGCACAAAAGAGAGTGGTTTCAACGTTTTCCTGCTGGATCAATAACATCAATAACAACACTGGATCGATTCAACATTTTCGAGAGATCATAATGGCTTACGCAGGACAGTACAGCATACTATTATGTTCTATCAGTATCTACTATGTTCTCTAGGTATCTATTACGTTCTCTCAGTATCGTTTATTCATGCTGTTCTGTTCTGAAAAATTGTATGACTGTGTGATGTCATCAATGTGTACGAGGGTGTCTGGGTAAATATTGTGGGAATGTCTTTACTCAAAGATGTACTGGAGAGAGAGAGACAGAGAGAAAGAGTAAAAGAGTGAAAGAGAGAGGGAGACAGACGGATAGACAGACAGACAGACAGACAGACAGACAGACAGACAGACAGACAGACAGACAGACAGGCAGACAGAGTGAGAGAGAGAGAAAGAGGATTACTATTGGAGCTGTGCGCTGCATATGTTCTTTGTATTATTGTACAGCGCATTGAGCACTTCTTTGTGGAAATAAGCTATATAAATGCAATTTATTATTATTATTATTATTATCCGTTTCTCAGTGTTCACAAGATTTCTATTGGTCTTGATGTATATTATATATAAAAGTTATGACACGTAATACCATAAATCCAGGACTTACTTTATCAACGCCTGCACTTAAAATGTAATTTCCTGTTTTGTTCCACTTGAGAGCAAATATGGGTCCTTTGTGCTGTCCTAAAGTGTTGACTAATCGCCCTGAGAAAAAAAATGAATAAAACAATAGCCAACTTCAGATTTTAAAGGCTAATATATTGATAAAGAACTTTGCTAGTCCTAAATAAAGACATGGAGTCACAGGAGTCAACATGCACTATAAATAGTTTTTTTTTTACTTTTTGAAACCAGTCTTCTATTTCAATCAATAAGTTTCTTGTTCCTTTTGGTTGTTGAAAAATGTTCAAGACATTAATAACAGTCAAGAATGGGTAACTCAAAAACTTTTGGGATTGCTAAATGTGTTCGACACATCAACAGTTCATGTTCATTGATAATAGAAAAAATTAAAGGGATATCAGTCAGGGAATGGCAAATTGTACAAGATATCTGTAATTTCGAGTTTTTCATCACATTTGTGAGATCTTTTCCCGACTGTATGAAGGTAGATCATAACGCCATGGATATACAACCTGCTACAGTACCAAAAGTGACAGTCCTAAAACTGCATTTTAGGGTTACTGATGATATCCTTACCATCAATGCTCCATATTCTGGCATATCCATCGTAGGATCCCGTCGCCAACAAGTTACCTTCACACTAAAAACAAGAAACATTGTGTGTGTGAGTAAAAAAAAGTACACTGACGAAGAACAACCATTTAGTTAGTACAAAGGGAAAAGAAAGACAGACAGAAATGTACCATACCTCGGCAAATTCATCTGTCTGTATTTAAACAGTATGTTTAATATGGGGCCCCCCATTCTTTTTTTTTTCCCCATTTTTAAGGGGGGGGGGGGGGGGGGGGGGGGGCTGTTTTGGTTTGCTGATAGATTAAACAGAAGCAGAGTTATTCAAAAGTTTGTGACGCTGAAAACTTAGACGACATAACTGGTTGCAAACGAAGGAGAAAAAGCCTTCCGTATACAGTAACTACAGTCAAACCTGTTTACGAGAGCCACTTATTGTCGAAGAAAAAAAGTGGCCATATTAGACAGTTGGCCAGAGAAGCTATACGGGGCCGACAGATGAACTGAGCAGGACTGCCCAATTTATGACAGATACCAGACTTCAAGAGTGATGCGATCAAGAAGAAGAAGAAGACAGTTGGCCGTCTTACACAGTGTAATTATAATGTAAAGAATACGCAAGGAAGGAAAAATGGGAAGTGTCTGTTGTTTATACAGGCGACCGTCTTATACAGGACTGTATTGCATATAAAAAGACTATCAAGACATGTTATATAAATAAGTAGCACCAGTACTGCAGCTTACCACCCAGTCTAACGACGTGACATCTTTGTTGCTGGGCACCTCCGTCCCCCCCTTCTGTATGCAGTGCCGGAGCACCAGCTGACTAGCACCCGTGCCGCTGTTGTTGTCGTTCATGTTCCAGATTCTGGCCGTCGAGTCACCCGAGCTGTTGGATGCAAAGAAGACAGTATTGTTGGAGTAAAGTGAAGCACATTGACATACATCAACACTTGTCATTTAGTGCTGGGAAAAAGTAAGGGGGCTCTCGTGACCTAGGGGTTAAGGTGTTGGCCTCTCATTCAAAAGGTCCCGGGTTCGAATCCGGTCGGGACAGACAGACAGACAGACAGACAGAGAGAGAGAGAGAGACTGGAGAGGTCAAATAAAAAGTAAGACAGACAGACAGAAACAATAGAGGGAAAGTAAAGAAGTAGGACCTACCAGTGGTGCCCCTCAATCACTCGCAAGTAGTTTTGTTTGCGAAAAAAGCTTCAAACAGATTAATTTTTCTTTATATTTGAATGCAACATGCAGACAGTTTCATTTGAGTTTGTTTGGGTAAAGAGAAGCACATTGACACAATAATCGTCATTTGGTGCTGGGGAAAAGTAAGACACACAGGCAGACAGAAACAACAGAGGGAAAGTAAAAGAGTAGGACCTACCAATGGCGCCCTCCAACCACCCGTCAGGCAGTTTTGTTTACCACAAAAGCTTCAAACGAATTAAAAAGAAATATAATGCTGTACATAACGGAAGGGGGTATTAACTGATCATAAGTCATTCCAGTTGATTACACAGTGGTTTTTTATCCTGCCAGAACAAAGGTTAATTGAAGAGGACAAAGTCTTTCTTTGAAAAATACAAAAAGAATAAAAGGGTGAAATGGCAATTATACATTACATCCTTTTCTCTTTTGATAACAAATATTTCCCCCCTCCCTCC